TGTACAGGTCTTTAACCAGACCCATGTTCTTGTACCAGAGGTGCTGCACTCTTCCTGCTGTGGTGGGAGTGGTGTACTGTAGCTGAACATCTCCAGAGCAGGGGCACTGCTGCAATCACTAACAATCACTGGACTTTATTCCTTATGTTGCTACATGGAACTAGGTGAAAAGGTAACCATCGTTGGCTACATTGGCAGAATAGATATTCTGGCCTAGTTCCTGCCTGGATGATTGAGTACAGAAGGTGTGGTAGTCCTGTTACAAAATAGGGGTGGTGTTTTGCAGGTCCAGGGCACTAATCAGGCCTGGAAAAACACAGGGTAAGAGGCCAGTTGATCAACAGGGTGCCTGTTAGGTTTGTTCCCTCTGCTGCCATGACATACATTTGCAGTCTGTTATTGCTACCAGGAATTATCATAATTTGCTGCAAGAGCCCACATTTCAGGGCAGAGCTGCAGAACTGAACCAAACCTCAGCTTGGCTTTGCTTGGGATCTGTCTGCATGCAAATGGCAATGTGCTGGGTGGGACGGGGTCTTGGGTTTTTTCCGTCTGCAGGGAAAGAAAGTACATCAGAAATAGAGGGGGAAATAGAGGGAATGAAGGAGAAGGGTAATTTGCAGTTTGGAAAATTATTTTAGACCTGTGGTGACTGGATCTAGAGCCAGTGGTTGTCTTAATTAAATCCAGGTTTCAAATCAACAGCAGGCCCAGCTTTCTTCCAGTGTCCCAACCCTAGCACTCAGAAGCAGGCAAAAATCTCTCCAGCTTCAGTGCTGCTTCTCAAGCAGTAGATGGAGTGGCTTCAGGAGCTTGCTGGTCACCACAGCCAGCAAGCTGCCTGCCATCTCCCCAGGCCCTGGAGGGCATGTCCTATGGGTGCCCTATCTCCCTGCACCACAGGAGTGTGCAGCACCCCTTGCCTCTCCTCCAGGACAATTTCAGGCTCTCACATGCCAGCTTTTATGAGGTGCAGTCTGGGGCAACCTGCACTCTCTCATGGTTGTTCTTCTCTTGGGTGTTGGTATTCTCAGCTCTCAATATTTTGCTGTGGTGCAAAAGGGACTCTACGACCACATCTAGATGAGCGCAGTTGTGTAGTATGTGGTGCTGCAGATGTGTCTGCGGTGCCGGATGCTGCACAGGCCATCATTCCCCACACTGCTACCTTGCAGTGTGCATTATTTTTGTTTGACCCCAGGAGGTCCCAGGGTCAGAAAAACCCATGCCTAAGAAAAGCAGGTCCACGCAGGTGGTGGCAGTGTGTGCCTCCCAAAACCAGAGCCTGGCTGGGTGCAGCCACACTCTGGCTGCCGGCCAGGCTCCCATCTGTAGGAGCGCCACAGCTGTAGCTCCCCAAGGCCCCCAAGACCCCAGATAAGGCTGCTGGGGTCAGTACAGTTGTGCCACTGCTGCTTGTCCTCCGGGAAACAAATGTCTGCACTTGGGTGGAGGGAGCCTACAAGGACTTCTGCTACCTTCAGTAAAACGTGATTGTTTGATTCTAGTGTTCTCTCTATCTGTGGTTAAAATAATGGATGCCACCTCCTCTCAGCCATCCAGAGTGTCAGTGCCCCCCATGGTCTGAAGTGTGGTCGGACTCACAGCTCTCTTATTCTTTTCAGTGGGCACCATTTAAGTCCTTCTGGAGACAGATCCAGAGTTACACAGGAGGTGCATTGTTCTCTGTTCATTTCAGTGGAAAACCTTAACGTGCATTAAAATGTCTCCAACTTGAAATCCTACTTCCTTCTGACCACATAAAGCAGATGTGTAGACCTAGGCATCTAGACATTTATGTGGGCAGCAGTAAAAGATTCCTCCCCCTTCACCATAAATATCCTATCAGTCAGAGCCCTTGCACAGCACAGGGAAAACCTGGTTTCTAGGTCCCCATCATCCTGAAAGTGTTTGAACCCCCCGCCAGTTATAGCCCAGAAGAGTGTCCTAGCACCCTGGAGTTCAAGGTCAATGCCTGTTCCATTACTACTCGGGTAGACTTTCTTAGCTTTGTGTATTTTTGCTTTGAAGTCCTGGGGAACAAATTAAAGTCCTGGAGGCATGTGTTTCCACTCTCTTTTCTTTGTACAATAGTTGATCATGCTTAATTCCAATGGCCACCAACCTCCACAATTCACTCTGATGACTAAGAAAAACAATTGGATGGCAAAACCTTGCTTCCCTAAGAAACAAAAGGCCTGGTTGAGTGTCCTGCTTAGGCTAATCCTTCTGCATCCCCCTTTGTGCCCTTTCTTTCGTTGTTGCTTAGGGAAGAGCTGGGTGATGGCTAGGGAGCAACAGAAAATATGTGGCTGTGACCAGTCCTCAGGCCCTCCTTAGGGCTGTCTTCATCCTAACCCCTGGCAATACCAAGAGGCAGAGCTCTGGAAGGAAAGGGGTACTTACAATTTCTAGCTTCTTTGGGTTGTGCCCTACTTTCTAGGGTGGCAAATGCTCTTTTCCAGTTCCCTGCTGAGTTCTCGGGGGTGGGAATTGCAACCCTTTTGTTTATTTTCCCAAGCTATTACCTTCCTCTGGCACCGACTTCAGGGGTCTTCCCCCAGGCACCCCTCATGATTCTCCCCTTAGGAGCAGACTACATCTTCCAGCTCCACTGGGGAATCATAAAAAAAAAAGCAAAAAGCTAAAAGTAAATACCTACAGATGCTCTTGAAGTGACATTATGGAGATACTAAGCACTGCTTGGATGAAAAAAAGCTTAAATTATGAATTAGGGCTGTATTATCCCTGGCCTGTCTGAGAAACAACTGGGAATACTGTCCAGGCATCATTGAGTGGATGGTGAATGATTTGTGAACACTGCAGTCTGATCCTATGTTTTGACTCATGGTGAAACCTGAAAAAAAGGGAATAAGCCCTGGACTGGGCTTTCATCACACACCTTCATGCAGCTCCACCCATTTCATTCCAGACTCACGGTCAGTTCTGAGGGAGAGACAGGATGATCCAAAGTTGTAACTTAGCACAAAAACCAATATTAAACTGCCATTAGTAAGGGTGCAAACTCAATCACTATTATAGTCAGGAAATGTCAGAATTCAAGTTTTTCTTTGCCTTCTTAATTCAACCCTTTTGTTCATTTGCATGATGAGACAGTCTTTAATCACAATATCATAAACTATTTTTCCCCCTTACAAGACTCCTGTCTCATTCGGTACCCAGAATGGTGAATAGTCATGTTTGTTGTACGCAATTCAAATCCTGCTCTGAAAGACGAATTATTCATTTCCTCGTGGAATTCTTTGCGGTACCTAACGATTGTGTCAGAATACGTCACAAACACGAATTAATTGATCTTCATCACACCCCTGTGAAATCCAGTGTGCAGGGCAGCACTCATCTGCTTTCACCAGGAGCCCTCTTTTCTCTTCCTGCAGCTCTGTGCCTTGTTGCACTACACACTTTCCAAATGTGATTGTGATAGATATGGGCTTCACTATACCAGCTCATGAATATTCAATGTGACCTGGTTATCGTCATGTTTACTGTATATGTTGGTTTAGTTCAGTAGATGGTGGTTAAGAAAACAAGTAGAACAAAGATAAGCCGCTTCCCAGTAAACACTTCAGAGCTGCAAGGAGATAATGCTGAATCTATTCGACCTCAGGATTCTCCCTGTGGATAGAACCAGTGCTGAACAATAAATGGTCACAGAAATCTTCTCTTTCCATCTGCTGAGGAGCTGTTCAGTGAGGATCTGTATGGCTGTCTGAAGAAGCTAAGAGGCAACATTTTTTTTTTTGGTGGGGGTGATAGCTTTTTATTGGGCCAACTGCATAACTGGTATAAAGCTAGACATGTTTTGTATGCAAGGCATTCTTTATCAGGTCTTAGGAGGGAAGAAGCTAAGACTGCCTGGTCAATCGCTCGAGGGTTTTAGGGAAGACAGAGAGGCACATAGACTGTTTGTTGTTTTAAAATCCAGGACTTGTCATGCTTTACTATTACTGCTACAATTAAACTACATCATGGTCTAAGTCAGTGGGTCTCAACGTTTTTTGTACCAGGACCCATCTGTAAATGTCAATGGCCAGTCCTGACCCAGTGCCTCTAACCCCCAGCTCCCCAGTGTGTGCGGTAGGGGGGCATGGGGAAAGGCGGGGTGGGGGAAGAAGAAGCCCTTTGCAGGCTGGACATTTTTCTCCTTTAAAGGAGAATCCATTTTTACAATCTGTTGATCCATTTTTAGAGTTTGTTTGCGACCCTTTCATATATTCTTGCAACCCACTTTTGGGTTGCAACCCATGAGTTGAGAAACACTGGTTTAGGTAGTATGTTTGGTCCCCTCTGTCCACCACTGGTCACAGACTCTAGAATGGAAGAACTGCTCGTGCCAAGCTCAGGTGGCCCTGGTGAGTTGGGCACAGGAGCCCATAGCTAGGTCTGAGGGGGTAAGGGGCTGGGGAAGGGGGAGCATTGTGGAATTTCACTCTGGGAAAGGTAAGGGTTCACAGCCTAAAACTATTCAAAGTAGTATGAAAAAAGTACTAAGCAGGCAGGTCATTTATACATAAGTTTCAAGATAAAGTGTCTGAGGGCCAAATGAAAGTTGCACATATACATTTCCTAACTTTTTCATGCTTGGACATCTTCATAGTGTTCTTTTAACATAGTCTTTTTTTGTGTGTGATGTATATACATATAGATTCAAGGCAGTGTCTGTTATGCCTCTAGTCATCCAGCAAAATACCCAGAGACCTCACCACCAGTAAGTCTGCATGCACTGCATTGTTGTGATATGCAAGCCGTCTGCCTTTTGTGACTTCCATCTGTAGAGCCTTTCTCCTTCTTGACTCATTGAGATACCAGGAGCCTTGCTTTTCTTCTGTTATTAAAATAACCTTGGCTATTGGCTTACCCCCTCCCCTCAGCTCTCATATGGTTCAGAATTACCATATCCCTTTGTTGGGAGCCACACTTCGGCTTGTCTGGAGGAGCAGCTGAAGCACGAGAAATGTGCCGATTCCATTCAGGAGCTTAGTCTGGGATGCATTGTGCCTCTGAAAAGAACGTTTAAACCATTTACATAAAAATGTGCTTGAAACAGATAATATGACTGCATACAGGGGGCACAAGAGGGGGCTGGGCCAGGCTGGGGGAAGGGGTCCTTCCTTTTCAGCCTCATTAATCAGCAACAGAATAGAAGGTGCCTGGAGAGATAGTGGTCTCTGACTTTCCAGCTTTTCGCTGTGCTCGCCTGCAGCTCTGGTGGCTGTTCATTCAAAGCAGCAGGCAGTAGCCTCTGTGGATGATTCTTTCACCTGGGACAAAGATCAAGTGAGCTAATCCAAGAATTCTGGGATTATCTTCAAAGAAGCATGTTGTGATTTGTCCCGGTAACCGAGAGTTCTGCTCTGATCCCATTTTTGTCGCAGTGGCAAAAGCTGTCAGAGCATCTGGTGGGATGGGAAGATGTTAACCCTTGCCAGGTTTCTGCTTTCTTGCTCTGGAGTGCAGTGCTAGGCACAGCGTGTCCAAGTTCTGGGCAAGATACCCACCCATGTGGCCCTGCTGACACACCTCTGCCACAACCTGCAGCCCCCACTCTGCCCTCTTGCCCTGGATTTCCTCATTGTTCTGGCAATGCACCTGAGTCCTGACATGCAGCATCCCCACCTTACCCTGCTC